TTTTAACTAATTTAATTCAGTATTTTATCGTCTTTAACTTTGCAAACGTAATTAATGGGTATCGTTCATATTCTCCATAGACCATTAGATTAGACGTACTAGGTTTCACACCAAGGAATCTTTTGCGTGCATATAAATGTACTTTTTCTATAACATCAATCATTTCTAATCCTACAACCTCTGCTCCATATAACAAAATTTGGCATATTTTTGTATCGAAAATCTTAGAGTACGTATTATAGGATATATAAGAAATGTCATATGTTGAAGAATTCCAATTAGGATCTTCTTAGCTTGTACAGCAGCTTGGTCAACATGCAACTTCCATGACAATTCCTAAGTACATGTACTTATACAACGATACAACATCTAATGAATGTCCTTGATAAAACCATTTCTCCCTTCCAGCTAGTGTACCACCATTTTTAAAAACAATAGCTTTTGTCTTATTCTTGTTGACAGATAAATTCCACTCTTTGCAATAAGATTCCAGCTGATTAATTTGCTTTTGTAGTCCAGGTATTGTGCTTGAAAACATTACTTTATCATCGGCAAACAAAAGAAGAAATAACCTTATGAAATTATGTCAAATCGTAGGGGTCATGTTTGGCCCAGAAGTGTATTACTTCACTATTCGTTGTTCGTTAACGTCACAGTGAGAGTGAAATTTAACGTCACATCGGCAATATTTCAGACCTATCGTGACGAAACAGTTATGATAATTATTTATTAAATGATAGTTGATAAAGGAAAACTGTCAACAATGGACAGTAAGATAACTAGAGTATTACAGTTTCGATTTTAAAACTAGTTGAGAACAGTTAAAAGAATACATTTTCAATCAACAATACATTATAAAAATGGGCTACAAATCACCAGCAACCAAAGTTAGGCCACCTAACTAGGGACCATTGGGACTTACAGTACTTCTGCTACATGCACGGATCTCAAGCATGATTTACACCAAGCCTTCGGCAATTAAACCAAGAGTTAAAATAAACAAATATACTACGTTTAAAACAGAGGTAAGAATAAATATACTTTGAATGATTTCTTTTGAAAACGTATAATTAAATGAGAATTAATTCTATTAAAAAGACCCGTTATTGATGATGATGTGAAATATTTATCCCTTGTGATAGAAAAATCAACACAGTCAAGCAGGACATGCTTGACCGTGATTCTGTCATCACAAGGAACACAATGGGAGGATCCTCACCTTTCAACAAATATTCATGGGTGTAACGAGAATGGCCAATACGACATCGTCGTAAAATGACCTCTTCAAATCTGGACTGACAACCCATGTAAGTGTAACCAATATTTGCTTTAATGTCATGTAATGTATTGATACCTACTTGGGTGTCCCACTTCCTTTGCATCAGATCGTTAACGTCACATCCAGACCTATGAGGCAGCTACGTCGTTACTTCTACAAGACTATCATCAAACTGGCGTTCCAGTCGAAACAGCTTCGGGTGATTTTGTACAAATAATCATTTGTCATTCATTGTACCACTATATACTTGAATGTCAAAAGAATAAAAAAGAAACCATACCACATGTACTTGTTTTACCGCTGGTAGGGCGGGATACGCTCAATTCGCCTCCATAGTCATTATTATTAAATATATATATTAAATGTGCACTTTAACAAAACAAGGGGACAGAATTCAAAGTTGCATGTCACACATGACCCCTGACACATGACAGTATAATGCAGGAAACAATAACTCCAGTTCAAAGTTATGTTTTCAATGCTTCGAAGAGCTATTCTTGCGTCAAGAAGTAGTCTTTAAATCACTCGTGCTACATGTACTCTATTGAATGTCTGGTTGGTTGGTTGGTTGGTTGGTTTGTTGTTTAACGCCGCACTCAGCAATATTCCAGCTATATGACGGCGGTCTGTAAATAATCGAGTCTGGACCAGACAATCCAGTGATTAATATCATGAGCATCGATCCACGCAATTGGGATCGATGATGTTGCGTGTATATAAGCGTGCATAATTGTTATGTACGGTAAAAGGGGAAGTAACTCTGTTCCTACTATGTGCTAAGAGAAGTAAATGCTACTCTAGATCAGCTAACGTGTTGTTGGTTATTAAAGTCGTCTTACGACAAACTAACGCCGTAAAACACGTTACATGGTGTCAGAAGTGACTAAAGAACTCACCGCAAGCCAATTATTTGAATACCAACGTGTATCTTCGTTGTATTTGAATGCCGATCGGTTCGTCAACTCTGACCACGTGGTTGTTTTGATCGTCGCATTTAGTGCATCTAAGCTATTTTGCGATAGACTTTAGAGCAGATACTGTTTGAATAGTGACTAAATAACTTTTATGAACGTATTTCATGAATATAGAAGAGTATTAACGTCTATATAAGCAGAAACAGAAATATGCCCAAGAATGTTGTCTCGCTAGGGAATATGGGACGCCATGTTGGAAAAAAAATAGTTACATGTGTGTAATGAAGATAAACGACTTTTGCCAAATCTGACAATATTAAGAAGTTTATTGCAAATCAATATGGCAGAAGGAGGGCAAGATGTACAAGTTCAAACGCCATCAATCATACATGTTCCTGTAAATATTCCTTTCCCACAGAAATTGGAATTAAAGGGAAACTTGGCAACTAACTTTAGAAAGTTTAAAAGAAGTTGGGACAATTATGTGATTGCGACTTTCAAATGAATCTAGTCAGTTTAAATATGCAACATTAGTGACATGCATTGGAACTGATGTGTTAGATGTTATTGATGGCATGAGTTTTGATAATGAAGATGATAGACAGAAAGAAGAAGTTGTGCTTGAGAAACTCAAGACTTTCTGTATTGGAGAAACAAATGAGACCTATGAGCGATAGAACTTTAATACAAGGGATGAAGATAGTGAAGGTATTGATGCGTATGTGACTGTATTATGGACTTTAGCAAAGACATGCAACTATGGAACGCTAGAAGACTCACTGATCAGAGATAGAATCGTCATGGGAATAAGGGACAACAATACAAGAAAGAGACTTCTTCAAGACTCAAAACTTACACTGAAAAGTGCAGTTGACATTTGTCGAGCTTATGAAACAGCAGCTCTGCAATTAAAGAACATTGGTGCAGCTTCAGAAGAAATAAAATCAGTCAAGTCAAAGAAAAAAGGACTGGTTCAGAAGAAAACAGCTAAACCAGAAAGAAGAGAATCTGACAAAGTGAAAGAAAAAGACCTATGGGAATGTAGATACTGTGGTCGAAAACATATATTCGGTCGAGAAAGGTGCCCAGCATATGGACACACCTGTTCCAAATGCAAGAAAAAAAATCACTTTGCTGACAAATGTCCTAAAGGAAAGAAAAAGAAAGGACAAGTACAAGTGGTAGATGAATATGATACAGATGAACATGATGAAGATGCTGAATACATCATGGCAATGCACACTTCAGTTGAAGACAGTGTTAAAGAAGAAATGTATCCAAAGAAACTGTTTGCTAAAATGACTTTGAAGAAAACAGAGGTGAAAGTTCAACTTGATTGCGGCGCAACTGTCAATCTATTACCAGAAACTCTCTACTCCGAAATCTATGATGATCCGACATTAGACAATCTTCAGGATGCATCAACAACTTTGATCATGTATAATGGAGCAGAAACATCACCATTCGGCAAGAGAAGAGTCATGGTCGTCAATCCAAGGAACAACAAGAAGTACAGTATTGAATTCCTCATAACAAAAGGTAATTACAAGCCTCTTCTTTGATCAAGAGTCATCCAACATATGGGATTGATCACTGTGAATAGAGACAATATCATGTCAGTTGCAGCAGAAGATCAAGTTAATGTTGTAAATAAAGAAGACTCACCTGTGACTATGAAGGATGTTACATCAAAGTATCCAGAACTGTTTGAAGGCGATGGTAAGCTTGAGGGAGAATTGCATCTGGAGATTGATGAATCTGCTACACCAGTTCAAATTCCATGTAGAAAAGTACCTGTAGCAATGAAACCAAAACTGAAAGATGAACTAGAGAGACTAGTTAAGATGAACATAATAACTCCAGTTACAGAGCCAACAGACTGGATATCGGCGATGGTAGTTGTGGTCAAGCCAAGTGGGGAGATCCGTCTCTGTATTGATCCTAAACCACTAAATGAAGCCCTGAAAAGAAGTCACTATTTAATGCCGACCATAGATGATAGATCTTACCTGAATTAGCAAATGCGAAATACTTCACTCTAGCAGATGCTAAAATTGGATTTTGGCACATCGTGTTGGACAAAAAAGTAGCTTACTCACTACATTTGAAACGCCTTGGGGAAGATTTAGATGTCTTCGTATGCCTTTTGGTATCTCTCCTGCCCCTGAAGAGTTCCAAAGGAGGATGGATGAAGCTCTTATAGGACTCCCAGGTGTGAAAGCAATTCATGACGATGTCCTCATATATGGATGTGGCAACAGTGATGAGGAGGCAGAAGCTGACCATGATCGAAATCTCAGAGCTTTTCTGGAACGCTGCAAACAAAACAATATCAAGTTGAATTGAGAAAAGTTCAAGTTGAAGTTACCAGAAGTTCCCTACCTTGGGCATGTGTTGACGAAATCTGGTCTGAAGATTGATCCGAACAAAGTGAAAGCGATCACGCACATGCCAGCTCCTGTTGCCAAACAAGGGGTACAAAGACTGCTAGGAATGGTAAACTTCGTCCAAAAGTTCGCACCAAATATTTCAGCGATCACTGCACCACTGAGATCACTTATTATGGATAAGACAAACTTCAAATGGGATCCAAATGTTCATGGCAGAAGTTTTGAAGAGATCAAGAATGTTCTCTCTGAACCGCCAGTGTTGAAATATTTTGATGACTCAAAAGAGACTTACCTGCAATGTGATGCATCTCAAAATGGATTGGGAGTCTGCCTAATGCAAGAAGGACACCCAATAGCCTATGCGTCTCGTGCATTAACACCATCAGAAAAGAACTATGCACAAATCGAAAAGAAGAGATGCTTGGGATTGTGTTTGGGTTGGAGAGATTTGAGATGTATACCTATGGTAGGAAGATCTATGTAGAAACAGTTCACAAACCTCGTGCATCCATCATGCTCAAAAGTCTGCTAAGCGCACCTAAACGCTTACAGAGAATGCTTCTACGGATCCAGATGTTTGACCTGAAAGTGAACTACAAGAAAGGATCTCAAATGTATGTAGCAGACACCTTGAGTCGTGCATACTTACCTCAATCCAAATCCAAAGAATCCAATGACTCAAGTGACATCTTCAATGTTGATCACAGATCCTCTACTGAGCTGGAAACTGAAACAATTTTAATGAAGGATTATGTTAATGTCTCAGACAAAACCTTGTCACAGATACAGACCGCAACTCGGTCAGATGTAAACATGCAAAATCTGAAGAGGATAATTCTGCAGGGATGGCCTGAAAACAAACTGAACTCACCTGTTGCGGTAAGAGATTATTTCACATTCCGGGAGGAATTATCAGAGCAAGACGACGTCATCTTCAAGGGTGAACGTATACTGATTCCAAATAACTTGCGACCAGAAACAATGGAAAGGATACACGCAAGTCACATTGGTATCCAAGGATGTATCAGGAGGGCTCGTGAACTCGTCTACTGGCCAAACATGGTAAAAGACCTGACTGATTATATAAGTAAATGTGAGATATGCAACAGTGCACAACAAGAGCAAGGGAGAGAACCGCTCATGAGTCATGCAATTCCATCTCGCCCATGGGAGAAGATAGCATGTGACCTGTTCGAATTTGAAAATCATGATTACCTACTTACAGTCGACTACGTCTCTGACTATTTCGAAGTCGTTCGTCTTCAAGGTAAAGATTCCAAAGAAGTGATAGGCAAACTGAAGTATCAACTAGCTCGTCATGGAATACCGGACCAGCTCATGTCGGACAACAGACCACCTTTCAATTCCGAATCATTTGCTGTGTTTGCTGAAAACTACAAATTTGAGCATGTCACATCATCACCAAGGCATCCTCAGTCAAATGGTAAAGTTGAAAATGCTGTAAAAACAGTAAAGAGACTCTTGACAAAATCCAAGCTTGCTAAAACTGACCCATTTCTATCTCTATTAGATTGGAGAAATGTGCCTACCGAAGGTATTGGTACGTCACCAGTTCAAATGCTGTATGGTAGGAGAACTAAGACACTTCTTCCAACATCACCTAAATTGCTGAAATCAAGAAAAGGTGAAAATGAAAAATTAAAATTGCTGAAAAGAAAAGTAAAGCAAGCAAAATACTACAATAGATCTGCACATCCACTGCGCATGTTAAAGACAGGTGAAACAGTGAGAGTTCAGCCCTACAACATTAACAGTGGAAAAAAGCATCTGTCGAGGAACAACTGGGAGAGAGATCATATGAAGTGAAAATGCAGGATGGAAGAATTCTGAGAAGAAATAGAAAGCATCTCAGACTTTCAAATGAACCGCCATCTCTTAGATATGATACAGAAGTTGTCAATAATCCATCTGTTCCAGATAATCCACCAATCACTCAATCAAGACAATCTGCAAGTAACCATGGTAACAGAAACATCAGTGAAAACACACATACAGTACCAAAGACAATTTCACCTAAATCTAAACTACCAGAGACTGAAACAAGTGAACCAGTGACAGTTCCAAAGGAAGTGAGAACTTCAAGTGGTAGACTGGTGAAAATGCCTGCTAAGTACAAGGACTAGGCGTGCTAAAGTGTTAATTCAAAATTGTGTTAAGTTAAGTCTATCAAGGACTCTAATTTGATAATCTGGTGTGAGTGACATATCTTTGAGAGGAAGGATGTGGCGTATATATAAGCGTGCATAATTGTTACGTACGGTAACAGGGGAAGGAACTCTGTTCCTACTATGTGCTAAGAGAAGTAAATGCTACTCTAGATCAGCTAACGTGTTGTTGGTTATTTAAGTCTTCTTACGACAAACTAACGCCGTAAAACACGTTACAGATGACATGCATCAACCAAGTCAGCGAGCCTGACCACCCGATCCCGATAGTCGAATTTTACGACAAGCATAGTCACCTTTTACGGCAAGCATGGGTTGCTGAAGACCTATTCTCTTGAATGTCTGGACTCTTGCAAGACGGTGTCATTTGATTACCCTCGTCGATCCATTCAATAACTCTGACGTTCACAATCAAATGACACATACAGTAATGACAGTTCTTTTGTATAGTTGTCGAAGGTAAACATATTATGCAAAAATAATTAAATCCATAGACGCATAATGCAGGACTTAGTAGACTTGCGTAACTGTGTTATGGATTAGAGAGATGACCCATTTTGGAGAAATGTTTATATTCTGGTTAATGACTGCTATCGGACATTAAAGTACGAAAGCCCATCAGGACCATATTGATAATTTGTTTTTTTCTCATTTAAAAGTCGTAATTACGAGAAAAAAAGTCGTAATTACGTCTTTCCAAACTCGTAATAACCATAATAATGTCGTAATCACGAGAAAAAATAGTTTATAATAAGATTCTTTTTATTGCTTTGTCATTATATCACAGTGATTTTCATCATCATTGTGTTTACCATGGCGGAAGAATTTCCGAATACATAACCAGAGAAATGTATTTTCGTTAAATTATGTAATTCATCAATATAATAATGAGTGATAACAGAAGAATTTCAACACCATGAATTAATAAAGTATCATCTATATACATCCATAGTTTGCAGTTAACAGACAGAGGTATGGCAATTGTAAACCCATACGTTGGGCAAACGAACAGAACCGTTTCGGGTGCAGTGCCTCAACAAGTTATATGTGGAAGTGGAAGAATCATCCTTTCATACTGCCTTTTAGAAGCCCTTTTTTCTCGTAATTACGACTTTTTAAACTTTCAAAACTCGTATTTAGGACTTTTTAAACTTTCAAAACTCGTGATCACGACTTTTGTTTTCGTAATGATGACTATATTCTCGTAATTACGACTTTTTTTCGAAATTACGACTTTTAAAAGACTAAAAACAAAATACTAATATGGTCCTATTGGGCTTTCGTATTATAGCACCAGAAGTGTGTCTGATTTCTTGAACAGGAACTTCCTTTTCTAACAACTACTCGGTTCCGCCGATAGATGCCTCAGTGACACAGAAAGGAGCGCGTGCAGACGCATCTGAACAAAAACGAATCATGGCTACAAGCTACTATATGTGCTATCAGCAGTATTAATAATACATATGAATGATAATTTAGGCCAAAGGTAGCCTTTTTGTGAACACCCAGTGCTCTCATTGATCCATTCATAAAATTGTCACCGCTATTTTGCCTTTTATGCCAAATGGAATCTGTTTCGGCGGATGATCGACTGGCTATTCTCTGGCGTTAATGTTCTATATATACATGAGGGGCGGTCGGGTAGCCTAGTGGTTAAAGCGTTCGCTCGTCACGCCGAAGACCCGGGTTCGATTCCCGACATGGGTACAATGTGTGAAGCCCGTTTCTGGTGTCCCCCGCCGTGATATTGCTGGAACATTGCTAAAAGCGGCGTAAAACCATACACACTCACTCACTATATATACATGCATGAAGACCATGGCCAATTAGTCTGGATACTCTTTTAACAGCTAGGGAAGAAGGATCTAATTTTGTTGACGTGATCAGATTCTAATATGGTACATGTTTGTAAGGTCGTCTTTTAAGGCAGCATTAGAGTCATGGCTGTTGAGATAAAATGACAGCTATTGCAATACATAATAGCCGGATATAAGGGAATAGGTAGTACACGAGCCAATGGCAGTCATAGCCTTCAGTACCACTCAGAATATAAATATAAATGCTGTGACCTGTCTAGACATAGCTGCAGTCATTATCAGCTATTTTAGTATATGTTAATTGCAGAAGGAAGAACGAAATAGGTAAATGTCATCATGATTACAACCATATCAACCACTCGACTCCTCCATAAACCAAAAATCTGATATCTGAGCAAGCTTTGATTCCTGAAGTTTCATGTGGTATAGTCAACACCATAACCTTATAAGACGTCTATGAGAGAGCAGATAGTAGATTATTTCTAAATCCCCCATTCGTGCCCTGCTTGCAACTCTCTATGCCATCTAAGGATATTCTGATGCAGGTCAGACTAACCCGGAAAACCGCCTGGAAACACCGACCGTTCAAGTAATCATTTTAATCTTGTTATTTAAATGAAATCAGGCTTTTTACTCACCTGCATCCACAAGAGCAGGTCTATGATTACGCAAAACGTGGTCTGTGTTGAAAGTGTACATGGATGTTGAGTGGCTCTTGAGGAAAAGGAAGTTGCCACCGACATCTTCAGACGAGCACTCTTGCATTTATTTTTCCTTTGAGAATGTTGTTACTTCAACGTTTGAAATAATATAAAGGTCAGCTCCCTGTTTGTTAAATCTTGATCATGAAGTGCCTTCATACATGCACTTCATATGGAAGAGTGGGAAAGGTGGTGCACATGAAGATGAATATAGTGCTCTTTCATTGCACATTCAGTATGTTCTTATTGGTCAATGGGTTGGAGTGGGTGTGGCGTATTCTGACAGTCGATGATTTTTAGTCATTTAATAAGTCGAATTTATCTTATCTCAAAATAGACGTAAATTATGGAGCAGACTGAGGTTTGGGGACTAGACATGATTGATGTTATAGAAAAAGTACACGCATATGCATGCAAAAGATTCCTTGGTGTGAAACCTAATACGTCTAGTCAACGGTCTATGGAGAATGTGGACGATACCCATTAATTATGTTTGCAAAATTAAAGACGATAAAGTACTGGATTAAATTAGTTAAAATGCCTGCGACGTTTCGGTACAGATCCTTATACCGTTGTCGTCCTTGCTTGACAGCGGTATAAGGATCTATACCGAAACGTCGCCTTCACAGTAATTAAAGAAGTTGTTATCCATAAATTCTGTCTACTTTGTCATATGTCAACTTCTAAGAAATGCCTATCAAACAATGTATTTTTCTCATCTGATTGTTAAGATACAAGTTACTAAGCTAACGGTTTATAATAGGAATTGGTTCCAATACATGTAAACAGAACAAAGGTTAGTCTTTCAAACGAATATAAATCCCTGAAGAGTGGAGGCTTTGAAAATGATGAAATGAACAGTTTTTATAGAACTAATTTCTGTTTCTATCCCACACTTTGATGAAAAACATACACCACGTCATACCCGTGAAGATTCCGGGGTAGAGTAGGTCTTCAGCAACCCATGCTTGCCGTAAAAGGTGACTATGCTTGTCCTAAAAGGCGACTATCGGGATCGGGTGGTCAGGCTCGCTGACTTGGTTGATGCATGCCATCGACCCCAATTGCGTGGATCGATGCTCATGATATCAATCACTGGATTGTCTGGTCCAGACTCGATTATTTTACAGACCGCCGTCATAGAGCTGGAATATCGCTGAGGGCGGCGTTAAACCACCAACCAACCAACCAACCAACCAACTACAACACGTCATCGACAGAGAATAATCAATCTCGAATTATATGCCGTATATAAACAGATTCCTTTGGGAGCAGACCGCCTCTCAGTGTGCTAGCACTAAACATCGGCATCAGTCTGGAGTAGTACAAGCACGCACGCACGCGCGTACATGCAGCTCGCTATATAAGTGCAATAATCATGGACGCGACGTTAAACCCCATTTCACCTCACCTCACCTTTGGGAGCAAAAGGCAAAATATTGAGAAAAATTATAATAATGGTCCACTGATGACCCCAGGTGTTCGCGAAGAGGAAAAAACATGTCCTGCTCTACCGGTAACACCCGCCACTCACACAGTTCGAATAAATGTGTTTGGTTGTTGCCTGACGCCGCACAAAGCAATGCAGCTGTCAAACGACGCTGGCCTGAATAGAGGCAATTTTACAAGCGAGTTGGACGAAACAATCCAGTGACACGATAGCGCATTTGCCCATTTTGTGGAAATTGTAGAGAATCTCCTGCTTACAAGCACTTGAGAAATATGTGTTTTGCAACACAGAGGAAAACCCCAAAGATGCTAGACGTTCCTTGGTTGTTTAATGAAACGTTAATTAGACATACATTTTACATGTAAGATTATATAATTACTCTGTTCGGTGCAAAATATATCAATCCTACCGCCAGATTTAAAATAACTGTGGATTCACTGCATCAACGGGAGTTGCGAAACATGGTTACTACAGTATTTATGAAATGATAGTATTGTTTCTGTCACATTTGTTTGTGATCTGTTTGTCTATCCAACTATACATGGGTACGATGTTTGAAACCAATTTCTAGTGTCCCCCGCCGTGATATTGCTGGAATATTGCTAAAAGTGGCGTAAAACCATACTCACTCACTCAATCACTATATCATAATCGCTATAATCTGTAGCATCAA